TGGTCAACAGCCAAAATAACAAAACTTGTGTCAGTGTCCAAAAATTTCCAGTCCTAACTGTACCTCTAGTGTGGAGTGCATGGCCAAACGCAGTCTGGCTCTGCTGCGCCTTGAGGCCTCTTTGGCATCGGTCAGCGTTTTCCATCCTGCAGATAGCTCCATGTTTGTCATGTTGTTCTCTAATTTGATTTGGCATCTTTTCACACTTAAATAGGCCTAGTATCTGCTCAGCTGACGAGTAACAGCTGAATGTTTGTGGACACACCTGTCTAACCCACATGGCAGAGTTGGTGTGGTCCAATGATAGCCCTATAACTTGGCCATCCAGATGCAATCAATTCAATCGTTTTGGTCTACAATCACTAACATAGGTTAGTTTTTGTAGATCAATTTATAATTTGTACCCAATGGGTACTTCCCATGTCTCTTAAATTGCATCCATGTTTCCCTCACTTGCCTCCCTCACTTGCGCCTTAGTCCCTCCCACCAGAGATGCATGGAGAGATACAAGGAAACAACGCAGAGGAAAGAGGATCGAGGAAATATGTTTTGACAGACATGAGACGTCCTCTCCTCCTTTTGGATCATTGCAGAAAATAAGTTGTTGTCCCCAACAACCACTGTAGTCACATTTAGCCACCGCCTTTTTAAAGACGTGTAAAAACTTCAAAATTCACAAGTGGGGGTATTACCTAACGTAGTTTATGTGGTCTAACAAAACGCCAACATCTTTTCAGCTTGTGTTAACCATAGACCTTATTTCAGGCGTCTAACCACAAAGCCATTCAAAATCCCCATTGACTTTTAGACGTTAGACCCCATGGCTCTCAAATGCTAACTTACTTCCAGGTTTTAGGACTCATTCCTGTGGCGCTCTATAGGCCATACGTGCACATGAAGAACAACCTGCATTCTGCAAAAAAAAAAACCTACAGAACTTTACTACATGCAAACCGTTTATATATTAAATTATTTATTAATTATTTGTTTTTACTGATAGCCTACTCTGATAGTGAACTCTGTATTTTATAAACACTAAGGCTGTCTCATGATTATTGACATTTTCCTATAAGACTGACAAGGCTTAGAGGCATTATCAATTGAATTAGCAGAAAACCATGGTGTTGAAGACTTGGCCTGGAATTTCTTTGATTCCCTGTTTGGTAAATGGAAGTCCTTCTTCACCTCAGCCTTTGTTGCCATCATCTGTTGTGTTTCAGTATTAGCAGGATGTGGCTGCTGCTTCATTCCCTGCCTACGCAGGTTGTCTGAGAAGACCATTGAATCTGCCTCGACTCAGAGACTGATGCATGTTGAGACTGACGTAACTGACATTCTGGCCAATCTTCCTTTCTATCCCCAGCTGAGCAACATGTCCGATGTGTCCTTGGGCAAGACACTTAACCCTGTATTGCTCCTGCTGCTTCAGTGGCGGTGTATGCATGGATTACTGTTGTACTTACTCTCTGATGTATGTCGCTTTGGACAAAAGCGTCTGCTAAGTGAATTGTAACATCATGATTCAAATGAGTCCTCTGCCGACAAGAATCATGACTTACATGGATAAGTATGACAAAGTATTCTGTGTCTTAAATCTTCTATGACTTAATGCTTGCCATTTTTTAACAGCCGTCAATGGCTACAAAAAAAGCGACTTGCTTTTCAATGTGAATTTTATGATGTTGTGATTTGAACCTTAGGGATTGTCATAACTGATGTTTGCCTTTTCACAGGTCTTTTATTCTTTTAAGTGATTAAAATATAATCAAAAGGAGGGAAATGTAATGGAAAAATTCTGTTTACTGCCAAGGACACATTTTACTTACAGCTCGCTTGAAAAATGCTATAATAAGTTAATACATATAATATTCTTGTTTTGTCTTTACCCGAGGATGAAGGTTTCTCACAAATAGCTAAATATCAAAGATACTCAGACTTGATGTTTCCTTGACATTACTGTTGTGCGACGTGTTGAAATGTATGACAAAATGTATTTGATATTTGACTGCACCTGTATCTGCAATCCTTATACAGGCATGAAGGTTTTTCTGTGAAGCATGTGTATATAACCCCAAGCATATTGTGATTACTTCGAGCTTTCCTTCAGACTGTATTGACACTCTGAAGCTTTGTTCCTTCTACTTGCAAGAAGAATTAAACTAAACAAAGACATTGATTGACTCACGATCCTTTCTTTTGCATTGTTAACCGAAATTTCCAGCACACTCTTTACAAACTGACTGATGTTTACAGATGTTTACATTTTGGACGGTCCGTTTAGCGTCTTTTTAATGTCCGTCTTTTCTCCCTTATTAAACTCCGCTGCAGCATCCAATCAATGATGGAGCCAAAATAAGTGATTTGAAAGGTCCTTCAACATGGCAGGACAGAATGACTTCCGGTTCAAGCAAGGATCGAGGACACAGGAAACGAAAAAGAAGAGATATGAGAAGTATCCCATTTGAACCCATCCATTAGGTTCCAAACTGAGTGAAATGACCCGGAAGCATTTAAGTTAACATTTTATTCAACATATTTCAGTCACCTAAGAATGCTTTTGCAGTTGTACATTTGTATGCTTAAAACATTATGTATATCTTGTATACATTTAACAATTAATTTCATAAAATCATACTTAGGCCATTCTCGATTAATGTTGATTTATGAGTGGACAGGAAGGTGATGGTTTCACTTTTGTTACTCATAGCCTGGTCGCCTATATGCCTTTTATTTCAATTCCTTGTGGTTATTAGGATTATTTCACCGGTTAGAAGGCACAGGGGAAAGTTTATTAGATGCGTTTTAAGTAGTCTTTTTTCGGAACATTGTAGTTTCACCACGGCAGACCCACGTCATGAACCTCCGCCGTCGCATTTAAGTACGTCGCCTAGGGGAAATGCAGTCGGATTGTCAGAGCAACACGATCGCCTTTCCCGTAGTCCTTTATGAATTCTCCTAACATCTTTCCTTAACCTCATGAAGTTTTCCACAGGGTTAAGGTAAAGAGGATAGTGAAAGGGGATAGGAGGGACAATCCGAATGCACCCAAAGTTTCTCTCTTCCTTGCTCAGAGTTGCTCTGAGAATGTTCCTAAATCACTCCTATGCTATACTCCTAATTTTTAAGCTAATTAAGGACCTTCCTGAGAGAATTCTCAAAATGTTTGTGAATACAGGCCCAGATCTTTGAGAGATCTAAGACTGAGTGGTAGAACTGCAGGGCTAAGTTGATGCCACAGGAATTACGGACATTTAGATTCCCTTAACTCTATGAAGTCGGTTTTAGCCAACCTGCTTGGTATGACAGCACAGGGGGTTCTGGGCCTGTATTCACAAACTTTCTGAAAATCCTCTCAGAGAGCTCCTAACTTACCTTAAAGGCTTTATATGCGATTTTTCACACTTAAATGTAATAGAAATCAAGTATATCCTCTGAAAATAACTGTGAGTCATGACTGTCTACAATGGGTGTAACACCCAAGTCCCACTGTCTGTGATGCTTTCCCAGTTTTCTGAGTCATATCTTCAGTTTTCTTGCATCGCCGGGACGGCGGCCGACTCCTCCCCTCACGTATAAAAGTTGTTTAATTGAGGGACTGGAGAAAAGAAGAATAACATACTGTACTCACTGCTTAACTGCGTTTCTAGAACACGGTCATTTCAGGTAAATTTACATGCAGTGTGAAGTGAAGAGTACGAGCATAATAAAGATCGCTAGCATTAGCATGCTGACACAGTTGTTTTGGTTTCATGCTGATGCTCAAGGGCGACATCTGCTGGATCAAAAAATTTGCATAGTAAGCCTTTAAGCTACTCTTTAAAATGTTGTGAAGTTCATATTTCACACTCTCATCAGAATCAGAGCGCTCTGTTTTGAACATGTTGGAGTTTTTCCCTATGAGTGTTCAGTGCAGTAATCCAGCCTGGAGGAGACAAAGGTGTGGATGAGTTTTTCTACATCTGGGAGGGTGAGTTTTGCAATGTTTCTGAGTTTTGAACAAGACTGTTTATTGTAGGTCTCAAAGATCAAATGAGGGTAACATTTTACTTCTAGCTTTGTGACTTAAGAGGAGTATTGTGGCTAACTACATACTATTAGTGACAAAGTAAATCTTAATTATCTTGAATTTTGCCTAAGGTTGGAAAATGTATGGTATCAAAGATTTAACTATCAGATGTAGTAGACAGGGACAGAGTGGTCAGAAATACAATCATTTCATTTTTTAGGTTTTTTTAAAAAGTGGTTTGACCCAGTGGCACTGGTAGTTATGTTTGAGGATTATAAAAAAAAACTAGCTCTCAGTTGTGTTTTATTATCTAAGTGTATCTGTTTCTGTGTGTATCAAAGAGAGGGAAGGATGCAGGAAAGTACTGTGCACCCCCACTGTTAATCACATATTCAAGCCTACCCTGCTTTATCTTCTAACTTATACAATAAAACATATATGTTTTTTAAACATGCTTTTGTTTTCTAATGAAGGAAGATGTTTATTAATTGCATTTGTTTTGATATATGACATTTCTCTAAATCGTAGATATGTAAGTGCCACTAATATACAGATAATATTTAGAACCAGAATTCTCAGTTTGAGATAAAAGTGGTCAGTACCAGGAATACAGTCGCCTCAGAAATGCTTTCATCATGAACACTGGAGTGTGTGTGAAAAGATGTATTCAAAACTGTGGCCTTGAAGTCTGAAAGGTATTACAAATATAATAGGAAGGCATACTGGCCTTGATCTGCAACAGCATATAGTATAAATAATGTTTTTTTTATTGGTATGACTACCAACATTCATTGTAAACTATATAAAGGAAAACAATATTTTATTAATAATTAAAGGCTGGGGCTTTGTCATTTGTAAAAGTTTACCTTGGTCTTTTCCATGACTGTTGGGTCATGCTGGTGTGAATGAGTCAGAATCTTTTGTATTGTGGGCTGGGTTTATAAATCTTCACTAGATACTTCAGAAGACCGTTGTGAGCTGTCACCTGTCACCTATGCACACAAAGCAAGGTCCATCATCCTCTGCATCCTTGTTTTTCACTCTGGAGGGCACAGGAGCACATCGACAAGGGCAGACTTTCACCATGAGATCCATCTTCATGCTTCTATTCTCCCTGTTGTTGGTACCCCAAGGATCTTCAGCTGTCATAACTGGGGTAAGTGGGAGCTGACAGTTGTAAATCTCAATTGGGCTTTGTGTGTCTTTCAATGTAAGGGGAATACAAAAATAAGCGCTTGATTTACAAAAAAAAAATCATTAAGGGAATGTCTAGAATTTTCCATTGTTTCAGCAGCTAAATTTAGCACCAGCGAGCATTCAGATGTTTTCAACCACTACAATATGCAAGTTCTTGGGTATCACAATCACAAAATAAAAATAAATAAATAAAAAATTGTAAGGAAAGGACACATCAAATTAAACTATAAAGTACCACTCTAAACCCATACCTCATGTCAAAATTATGATCCTTATAATGAATGCAAGTTTTTGCATTTTACTGTGCTTTCACAGATTTTGCCCAAAAAAATGTTATAGCTTGGACAACTACTTATTAGTATATAGAATGGCAGAGAAATATTAATCTATTTTTGAAGATATACTGTATATACCAACAGGAGAGAAAAAAATGATTTTTGAAAAAAAGTACAATTAAGAAATGGCTCACAACTGACTTATACAAAGGTCATTTTTGTAACCTAAAAAATGACTGAGGGCTAACAAAAGTGTAAATTTGCAATTATATTATATCTGTCAGTTTATAAATATAACTCTAAAAGAAACCAATTGTGATGATATTGATAATGAAGCTCTTGATAAATAAAAAAATCTATGCCACGTACCCTGTGCATTGCTTGTGTGCACTGCCTCAGCCCCTGTTTCCGACTTTGTTTGTACTTACTAATGTTGTTACTTTCTTTCTCTCAACCCTTGCTTGTGTTGTTCTTATGTATGTCAATTTAGAGTGTCTGCTAAATGAAATTGTAGAAGCAACCACCAGTGAGGTTTCAAAATAATTATCCAAGGCAGGATTTGTACAATATCATGATCATGTATGAAAGCCGCTAATTATTCACCCATCCGTCATATCATCCTTTTGGGATATGACTAATATCATATTCAAACCATTGAGGTAAAGTGCATTTAAGTAGAACCTGTTTGCAGTGTGCATAGCACCTCTTATGTTAAAACATATCTAAGCACTTACAACATCTAACCTGCCTTTTACTGTTAAGTATAAAAGTTATCAATCTGATTCTGTTAAATTGCATGCCATATTTCGTTAATGCATTAATCAAATAAATATTCACATTATAACTGATTCCATTTCTCCGTGTGTGTGTGTGTGTGTGTGTGTGTGTGTGTGTGTGTGTGTGTGTGTGTGTGTGTGTGTGTGTGTGTGTGTGTGTGTGTGTGTGTGTGTGTGTGTGTGTGTGTGTGTGTGTGTGTGTGTGTGTGTGTGTTGTAGGCTTGTGAGAAGGACTCTCAGTGTGGAGGCGGGATGTGTTGTGCTGTGAGCTTGTGGATCCGCAGCCTGCGTATGTGCACGCAAATGGGACAGGAATCAGATGACTGTCACCCAATGAGCCACAACGTAAGATTATCTACACAGATTGCTTATCATAGCTGTAAAGTGTATTGGACTTTCTTCGCCCAGACGACAGTGATGTTGCAGCTTGTAGAAAATACAAGGTTAAGCTCATAAACAAAAATAAAGTTGGGGATTTTCTCTAACAGAAAGGGATTGAGGTCAGATTACCTGACCCTGTTGCTACTTAAATGTGATACTTAAATGTGTTTGTGATCGTACTTCTAAACCATCTAGACTATCCTGTTTAGAAATCAGATAAGATGCCAGAAAAACAAACATTGAATACACAGTATCTTAGGAACATGAAATGTCATACCAATAGTCTCCCTTTCTGCTTGCAGGTTCCTTTCTTTGGAAAAAGATTCCACCATACTTGCCCCTGCCTACCCAACCTGTCTTGTATCACTATAGAAGAGGGGAGATCCCAGTGCCTATCTCCATCGAAGTATCCATACTACTTCTGAGCACCAACACAGTTAGATCTACTCTGTTAGTTGCCTGCACTGTAACAACCCTTTTTCCATTTTGTGGTCTTAAAATTCAGTTATATATTGAACATTGTATCACATCATTTGTTCAGGTTAAATTAAATTATGTTCAAAGTAGAATCTGAGTCATGGTCTTTACCCTTTTTATTTCAAAGAAAGTTTAATATTAGTAGGAGTTGTGAGGCTGCAATGTCTAGTTTTGTGTGGACTTTGATGCCCCTTGTGGACAAAGTATGTACTGTGAAGTCCCCTTTAGAGGCACCCAATCCTGCTTTTGAAGGGGTTTTTTGAAACGTGATAGAAACGAGTTAAATTCAGTATTATTTGTAAGAAAATAAAAGGAGATGACTAAATCCAGATCACTTTTATTCTGATTACACCTTTTTAATAGCCCTACAGATTAAGTACTGTATCACCTTCGAAAAATAACCTGGACTTGTGAGGATTCTGTATAAAATCCAATTGGAGCTGAAACAATTTTCTCATATGTAGAACATAGAATAGAGAAAGAATAGGTGTGCCAATAATTTAAGCCACAAGCTGTTTCCGGTTCTTGGCCAAAATAGAAAGTTAAATGATACATAGAGAGCTGTATATAATCCCATCAGACACAATAGTGACAGAAAAAAATATTTTCAGTAAAAGGGTCGTAAAAATGTAATAAAATTATGTATCAATGCATGAAAAACTGACAAAACAAAACCTCTCAATGAAGTGAATTTTCACATGACCAGAGCTGTTTACGCTCTCGTTGGAGGTGAGTGGCTGTATCAAAGCTCATACAAAAGTATGTTAATATGAAGATAATAAAAAAAAATTTGGTACACATTATATTGAACTTGTCTAGTATTGATATATGTATTTATTACGGTGGCCTTGAAGTGCAAAACACAACGACAAATAAGAAAACACAACGAAAAATCTAAAAACACAACCACAAATCACAAAACACAACCACAAATCACAGAACACAACAACAAATAAGAAAACACAACAACAAATAAGAAAACTAATTACACAATTGACATCTGTACACACCAGTATTTTACCATCATAAAGGTATTTGTTTTATTTATTGAAAACCATCATAGGTTGCTGGAATTTTCAGGGAACTTTGGCCACTATGAGCATCTTATATTGTGATGAATAATAAAGAAAAGCATAATAGGTCCCCTTTGAACAAACTAGGAAAAAATGAAAATAAAGCTGGCACCCAGATTTGGATGTTTAAAAACATCCAAATCCGGGTGCATTCTGTACGCCAAAGTCCATGTTGGTCATGAAGACATTGTATGACTCCAAGAGCAGAAGCTTTAGTGTATTTGCACAGGTGTTTGCCATTGGGAACGGTGAATCCGTTAAAAGCTGGATGCATGGCGGAGGTTCTATTCCCGCAGGTGGAAGTGATGTTAATCCTGTTGCAAACATCAACACCTCCTGGAGGGACACAGATGTCACTTTTTCTGAAAGGAGAAAATCAACATTGTGTTGCATTTCTTTTGACTCTGCATTAACTTAAAATGCATCAAGTGAAGCATTTGTCTCCTATTTTAGATTTAAAGACAAATACAAGATTTACAAACAATACTACATTATTTACGAATATCTTACAAAACAGCCATGACAAACCTTCACAATCGAGAAGATAGTCTGCCCAAAATCCAAGTGTTTGGCTTTCTTTTTGCCGCCTGTTGCTTCCTGCTGGACTGAGGTCTGGTCTGAACATGCTTTCCATGTCTGCAGCAGTCAGGGTCTTGGCAGAGTGGTACAGGACAGGGGCCAGCACACTAGAATGCTGCTGCAATGCATCCAGAAACTGCAGACTTGCAAGTCCATCTTTGAATCTGTCAAAGAACAATGATTGTGTAACGAATAATTTATCAGTTCATAAGAAGAAGTTAACTATCAACTGTTAACACTTTTAGCACAATGTATGCTCCTACAGACAAGGTACCTATGCCTTTTTTGCTAATTTTTGGTGTGTTTTGCTCTGTGTATTTAACTGTTTAATAGACCGTTTTGAGTTGTTTTCACAGATGAAGTACAGGTTCAGAGACAGGTGACACAAGGCAAAAACAAGCAAGCAGGGTCAGGTGGGGCAGCAGTACAGGACCCCTGGCTGTCCTCGTGCAAGAAATGCAATGGAACACATTATGGCCAGGTTTGAATCTGTTGTGGGAATTGAAGTTTTTTCTCATGATCAGTGAGAGGCAGCTTTTGCCTTTTCTCTGTTTTCTGGCTGCAGAGAGGATCATGTCAGGCAACACCTGATGGACAACATGTGAGTCCTCAAGCAGAACTAGTGACTGGTGAAAAATGGAAGTTCCAGTTTCTTGAAAATCGTGTCCACGTGAAACTCTATCCTGACCAGTCCAGTCCTGAGTGTCCTCTTCAGTCAGTACTGGACTCAGTGACTCATTACTCTTGAATCAATCCATGGCAATTGGCTATTTTGGCTATCATATGTCTTGATGTACAGTATATCCATTCCTTTATGATTTACCACATGGATACTTTTTTTTTCCCAAGATCTCAAAACTGTTTAGTGAGTATTTCGACAAGTTATCCAATCAGTTCAATCTGTTTTTCACATATATTGTGTAAATGCAAAAAGCTTGTCATAGTCTGACATGTGATGGTCCGTGCCTTGGCTCGCAACTGGCAACCACAGCTGCCGGTAATTTACCTCTAAATTGAAGTAGTTTCAATAAAGTACCATATTACGTATTACAGTTTTACTGTGTTTATTACTGAGATAAACTTTATAAAGGTTTATAATATAACTCTTATTTTTACAGCAAATAACCGTATACAGGTTTATAATATATACGTTATTTTCATGTAATTTACCCTAAACAGATAACAGTTGTCTACCGTAAAATGTACGGTTGCCCAAACAATATACCGTAATGTCTTATACATTGTCACCGTCTTTTTTATGGTAAATTTCTGGCAACCACAGCTGCCAGTATTTTACCGTAAATTTTACGTTGTTTGTAACACTGCTGAAATAGCGTCAACAACAGCATCTGTCAATCAAATCCCCTGAGCCAATTGGATGCAGTCTGCAGTCTGCAGTCAGTCTGCAGTCAGGCATCTACCCCCTTTCCCCAGGTGAACTAATCACCTGATTGAAACCAAACTCAAGTAGTCAGCCAGAAGGAAGCAGGACACAGGGGCCTTTTCCGAATAGCCACAGTTCAGTATGCAGTACGTACTTTTCAGTATGGAGTTTCAGTATACTGAACTTTCGTGGTCATTCAGTATGCATTTTTTGGGTCCACCTCAGTATACTGAACATTTCAGTATGGATACTAACTTCCGGGTTTCATGCAGTATGGATCGGATGCGTGCTTTCAGGAAATGAATTGTATTTTACCACCCACAATGCTGTGCGAAATTAAATGTAAATTGTCACTTCACGCCCGCCTCCAAATCAAAACAAACGAGCGTGGATTAATTGAATCAATTTCTAATCTAGAGTTAAAGTCCCGACTGAAATCACTACTTTTAATTAACAACAGAAAATAAAACAAATATCTGCATTATTATAAAACCTTTCCCCCTCTATTTAAATAATGATTTCATTTTTTAAATGCGTCTTTATTTGTTTATTTTACTTTATATTCTGTATATTACTGTCTTTCATTTGTATTTTTCTTTATGTAGGCTACTGTATGTTATTTAGTTATTTAATCTGTCTTTTACTTGTGATATTGTTTTTTTTACCTGACTGTATATGCGCATTACTCTTCTTGAATAAAGCTGGAAAAAAAAAAAAAAAAAACGGGTAAATGCGGCCGGTTCGGGTAATGTAAATGACGCCACTTTCATAATGAATGAATCAGAAGAAGTAGGAACAAATATCTGCCTACTGTGCACGCCTACTGAATAGTAGGTACTAAACAGTATACAGCACGGATAGTAGGTGCCTACTACCTACTGACAGATTGAGTAGGTACTTGGCAATTCGGATACAACCAGTCATTTCTAAAACAGTCATGGAGAACTTAGTTAAAGTTAAAACTTGTGCTTTGAACCCCGGACACAAAGCTGGCCCTTTTCTTCACTGAGACTTCAAGCCTTGAGGAGCTGATGTGCTGCTGCTGCTGCTGCTGAGGAGGATTGTTTCAGGACTGAACACTGGTGAGACATCCACAATGGAAAATTTGATTTAATTGCTGCTCCCAAGTTGAGCAGACTTGTGATTTTATTACCTGTTTGCCTAAACAGGTCAGGCCACATTGCCGGAGCAATGAAGATGGCGAGCTAAAGGAGCAACTTCAAAAGACTCATGGAGATTCCCTCAAAAGGCAGGCCTCAAGCCTGGCTGTTTGGCTGAATGGTGTGGTAGGATTTCCCCTACCTAAATAAACACTTGAATCCTTCAAACATTCTGCACACACATAACAAATAACTGCAGTAAGTGTAATGTGTTTGGTGCATTGATTTATATGAATAGAATTGGGAATGTTTAGTCTATGCTGTATGGAGGGTAAAAGGTGCCCGTAAGAATCTGTGAATTGAAGGCCTGTTTTCTTTTATTTAATTGTGGGGTTTTCCTTGATTCATTTCAAGTGTTTTTTGTTATTTGTTATAAATAGACATTTGTGAAATACAAAACCTTACATTAGCCCGGTACACATTAATTTGTTACATCTTGTTTTTTTGATAATTTATTATTTATAAATACGTATTTCATTTAAACTAAATTTTGTATCTTGAGTGTTCTTTTTTTTTTTTTTTACAGTGTATGTTCTTTGGTGGGACTTGTCTGTTTGGACAGTAATGGTGCTGTGAAAAAGAATTTCCCCATAGGGAAAATAAAGTAAAAAGTTTAGAAGTGTAAAGTTGTAAGGAAGAGCAAGCAAGCAAGCATTTAAATCCTACTCAGGAGAATACTGTTGGGAACAAAAGACACAGAGCAGTGGAAAGAAAGACTGTTAAGGATGCAAAAAAATAGTGTTGGAACTTGGAGAAATGATTATGGGACACTGGATCCTGATACCCCAGTCAAGCAAATATGGGCCAGAATACAGCAAATGTCTGGGGAAATAGGAAGAACATCAATGCCAGTCCTTAACGATGGACAGTCTGACCCCCAATTCACACTCACACTCGCACCCATTCACACTGGATCCATTTCGGGGACGTCAGCGCAGCGGAGCGCACCCATGACACATGACAGATGACAGGAGAACTACAAGATCCCGTGGGAATAAAGAGAAAAACATGCAAACAACATGTTGCTTTGTCTTTCTGAGGATGCATTGTTGTTAATTCGGTACCTGTTTTGACGTAATTGAACTTGAATGTGAAGAAAACAGGTCGTATAATATGTTTTTCTCTCAGGGAGCTAAAAGATGCAGTGCAGGCCGGAGCAAACACCACTCCAAGTCAAGATGTAATAAGTTATGAAATGCTGAAACATTTAGAAGATATAGTATGTGATGAAATTCTTGCTCTGTGTTATTATATTTTGGAGGCTGGTGAGCTACCAACAAAGTGGAAGCAAGCAGTAGTGGTTCCAATATTCAAACGAGGTAAAGAGCCATGCTTTCATTCATCTTATCAGCCAATAGCTTTAACACGTAAGGTGATGGAAAGAATGGTGCCAAATAGAATGGTGTATTTTCTTGATTTTTTAATTTTTTTTTGTAAACTATCAGAATGTTTTCAGGATTGGAAGAGGTATGGATTCTATTGCAGTTCTAGATCAGGACATCAGGAAAGCAATAATCAACAAAGAAGCTGTGCTGGCAGTGTTTTTAGATATTGACAAAGCATATGATTCAATGTGGAGGGAGGGTGTGCTTACCAAACTCCACGATGCAGGTATTAAGGGTAGAATGTTTATTGGATTAAAGACTTCCTTAATCATAGGTCAATTCAGCTGAGGGTTTGGAGAGCTTGCTCAGAAACAGTTGACATTGAAAATGGAACTCCCCAAGGCTCAGTAATCAGTCCAGTCCTTTTCAATGTTATGATAAATTATTATCTTTTTTAATTCATGATGGTTTTGGTATGTCCCTGTTCCAGATGATGGCGCCATCTGGAGGTGAGGGAAAAATATTCAGCATTTGTTCTTACGAACTCAGTAGGCTTTGGATCATGTAGTGCAGTGGGCGGATAGGTGGGGCTTCAGGATCTCTGCAGCTAAGACTAAGTTTATGATTTTTGGCCTCAAAAGGAAAATTCCTGATTTAAATCTTTGTTCCTTAAAAGGGTAAATGTGTTTACATTTCTTGGTGTGTGGATGAATAAGAGACTTACTTGGAAAATGAATGTACAAAAATCATCTGTAAATGTGAGAAAGTAAATAACATCCTCAGAAGCCTAGCAGGAAGTGAGTGGGGGGCTGAGATGTGAACCTTGTATATGACCTATCAGGTCATTATAGATCTACACTGGATTGTGGATGTGTTGTGTTTGGGGTCGCCTGCTCCTTTCTGGTTTCTCCCAGAACCTGAGGTTGATCTTTCCCTGCTTCAACAGAGGTATAGTAAAAAATAAATCTGGGAGTTTAGGCTTATATGTAAAACAGATGCAGGATGAATATATGCAGATTTTCACAGATAGGTCCAAGGATCCAAACTCAGGGAAAGCTGGGTTTGGTATGTATGTGGTTAATCTTCAGATCCGACAGAGTGTCCGCATATCTGATAATCTGTTTGTGTTTACTTCTGAACTTTTGGCTTTTTTATGGGCCATATGGTGGGTTGGGGAGGTTCAACCTCCATAGAGTTTAAGATGTTCTGATTCAGCAGTTGCCTTGTTGGCATTGAAAGAGGGGTCATCAGCATCTTGTCCTGATGTAATTCAGGAGATCCTGTGCTGTTTACGTCAGGTTGAGGATTTGGGGTGTCAAGTTGAGTTTTTATGGGTACCAGGTCATTCAGGGATATGAGAGGAATGTCTCTCTTAAAACAAGGTATTGAGATGAATGTTCCTTTGGGGAAAGGTGAATGTTATAGTATTTATAAAGAAAGGTTATAGTGTCAGTGGAAGAGAGAATGGGATGAAGAGCAGAACGGCAGGGATGTTCTCTCTCTGCAACCATCAATAAAATGGAAGAGGCTTCTGCTAAAATGTTGTAGAAAGAATGATGTGGTTTTGATTAGGTTAAGGTTAGTACACTGTGGTTTGTCCTGTTATTTAAAGGTAATCGGTAAACACCCTAATGGTCTGTGCCAGTGTGGAAAGGAGGAAACAGTCCGTCATGTTGTCTTTGTTTGTGTTAAATATAGGAAGTCAGTTATTTAGGGAGTTTGCCTATCTGACCTGGGACTATCATCTCTCTCTATCATCTCTCTCTATCGTTCTCCTTTAAGTCAATATTTTCTGTGGATACAAACTTTCAATCTTTTGGGGGCGCAGTTCTTAGATTTTGCCGGAAGTCCATTAGAAGAAGAAGAAGAGGAAGAGGATTTACACATTCCCAGGTGGTTAAACAGGGGACAGATGTGATATTCATGTGGGTTCCAGCACATTCAGGCATAGCAGGAAATGAAGAGGTGGACAGGTTGGCAAAGGAAGCTGTAAAGAAAGAGAGGATTGATATTAACATCAAATTATCTAAGTCAGAGGGGAAACGAGTCACATGGAGTAAAATGAAACAGGAATGGCAACAATATGGGAACAATCAGACAAAGGGAAGACATTTATATTCAATTCAGAGGGAAATAGATAAAGTAAAATACAGAGGAAGCAACAGAAGAGAGGAGGTCGTAATGTCCCGGTTAAGAATTGGTCACAGTAATTTAAAGCACTCTACATATCATTGGAAAACATTCATCCGGTCTTTGTGAGATATGCAATCTAGCAGAAACAGTTGAACATGTAGTTATTAAATGTAGAAAGTATGAAGCACATAGACATAACATGATGTCAGAAGTGGAGAGAGAGGGACTCGTAAGAATAGATTTCAAAAGTATTTTGGAGTGTGGGGAGAGAAGGAAAGGCCGAAGATGCTTGATTAAATATCTCTTGAGAACAGGTTTATTGAGGAGGATATAGGAATGTGAGTAATAATTAAATCCAGCAGATGGCAGTAATGCAACTTTTTGGATGCCAGCTGCCAATAAAATCCAAAGAAGAAGAAAAGAGGAGGAGGAAGAAGAAGAGGAAGAGGAAGTACATGACGCAGGGCTGACTGGGAAACGTGTTACAACCATAACTTGATAACTCTGTGACTTACTGGTGAGTATTTGTCTTTGTTTATCATGTTATGTGCTGTATTTTAGGTACTGTCACAGAAATTAGATATAACACTGCATTTTCTACCGCACCACATGAACCACATGAAAGTGTTACAGTGATATGTTAGCAAAGCACGGGTAGACTATCATGTGGAAAACAAACTTACTTAATAACCTGTCCAATCATTAAAAAAAAAAACTTAACGACGAATTATAAAGTCTAACACACAAATCACACACAGCCTACACATTCCCGTAAAGACCAAAACAGCGACAACATGTGATTTATCGTAATGCAACATGTTTTCTTGTAATGTTCATGCAGTGCTGTGTGTACACAAGATGTATATTCACAGTAATATAGACTGAGAGGGGCTTTTAAAGTAAAAGTAGTTGGTCTACAGTTAAGATCTTTTTAAATGTAAAGCCTACGTACTTTCTAATGCTGCAAAGTGAACTTTCATAGACAAGTTTACAGCTTGCCTTATAACCCTGTCAAAATAAATTCAGGTTAATATTATAATCCTTAAAGGGAATTTAAGTTTGCTTTTATTTTATCAACATAATTGAATATTAGCAGTCATTTATATATTTATTATATATATATATTTATTTATTTATTTTTTAGAAGGAAAAATGATTTGATTGAAATCGTAAATCTGCTGTGAAAAAATTACATTTTATTTTTAGTCCATATTTCCCAGCCCTGGTCTGTATGAAATAACAGTCATTATTATAACAGAATAATGACTTTTGAACGCCGTTAATATATTAAATTGTTTTCATCTTGCTGCAGTAGGAGCAGATGGGTTTTAGAAAAGCGCTGGCCAGATCAGGGGAGCTCATGTGAACTGCTGCATGTGTGATCAACTACAACGTTTCACAAAGTGAAACACAAGGGACCGTGATATTGTCAGCTAGATGGTCATTCATTCTTTCTACATGTTTTTTCTTGTCATTGGTGCTACAGGCATAGGCGTTACATCTGTATCCATCATGATAACTCCTGCGTTTGATCTGAGTCAAGATCCTGAGTACCTGATCCTCAACATTCGTGTGCCTTACACCAGAACATCAGAGTTTGATCTTTATATTGATGGAACAGATTTAAAGTTCTACGCTAAGCCCTATTTTCTCAGGTGAGTAAACCAGCAATGTCTATTCAAATCTAACCTTAAATGCATGTTAGTTTTGTTTCCTGGTCATGTAATAACTCAAAATATATGATTACAGATTAAAAAAATTGCAGGATTCAACTGTCTGGACATGTGACTTTGTCTCTGTCTGTCTGGGTAAATGTGAATATTTATGTTACCTTCAGATTATCGCTGCCTGGAAAAATAGTGGAAGATGGGAGAGAGAGGGCCAAGTTTGACATTGATAAAGGTAAGTCACATTGATATATAATGAAAACATACAAAATTGCTGTTAAGCCAGTTGATAGGTAATGTAACAATAGAAGGATCTGTTATCCTACATCATGGGTGCCCAACCTTATTAAACCCAGTACAGTGTATGATGATAACGACATTAACTAATGAGACCAAAATCATTTTTTTGTACCCAGTTGTAAACTTGTTAATTTCTGCTGTGAAAACAAACGTTTTAATATCGAGTGTTTTTGGGACTTTTGGTGCCGGCCTCAAGCTGACACTTAAGGAAATGCGTTGTTTGTTTTTTTTTGCACTTCCGCATTAGCTTCATTTTTCAACATTGGAGGTTGCCACTTGGATTTACATTGATTTTGGATAATTACCATGTCCTTCATGAAATTCTTAGTTGAAATTAAAAGCAAAATCAATACAAATACAATATTATTTATTTAAGCAACGCAGTTTCTATAATGAACTGACGATTGGGGATTACATAGCGTGGTTCACTCTCATTAAGCAGTTGCGTGAAGCCTTTGTTATCAACTACACTGCACGAGCACACGTCTTTACAAATAGAGCATAAAAGTGCTTTTTGATCTGCTGAGCCCACTTAGAAGTCGAGAAAATTTTGACTTGAAAGCGTCTTTCAGTGTTGGTGGCCCTGTTTAGTGGGCCCCACTTTTGGTGCTAGCTGATCACTAGGATGGTGTCTGGTAATGTGAAGATGGAGGTTGGTCTGCAGTATTTTACATTGTTTTTGTTCAATATTCTAAAATGCTCCTATATCTTTGCTTTCAAAAGAGCTTCTGCACTTAATTTACTAGAGCTGTGCATCTTCACTGGTCTTACGATTCGATTACGATTATCCAGTCAACGATTCGATTCGATATCACGATTCATCCTCAATTTTCTATATTACTGCACATGGCTGCTTTTTCATAAACAGAGACAAACAGTCTGATAAATATGAACTTCTTTTGTGTAATTTAAAAAGTGATTTAGACAACAATCTCATTATCAATATCTTTACATTGTAAGTTAAAATTAATACATTATATAGGTAGTCTACAGCATCGGTAATAAGTTTACGTTTTTTTGTGTTTAGTTATTATACGAGAGAAAGATGTTTTTAAGTCACTGTGTGTTCCCTTCTCAGGGCGTTGTAGCCTTGCAGTGATTCTCGATGACGCTGGGTTGGGAGTCAACTGTGTTTACAGCCGCTCACTTTATCACGAGTCACCGCCACAGCCCACTTCTTCTAGTTATCCTGGACTGAAGACAGCGAGACATCAGTTTAAACACACCTTTAGCTGTAATGAAGATCCTACAGAGACACAGAGTCAAGCCGTTTCAAAGGAGGCTGTGGCTGTGAATGCTGTTACTCCTGACAGCGTTATCGAGAATAAACATTAAGTGCAGCTCCTCTAAAGCTGAAGAGTGATTAAAACATTTAATTTCCAGGAAGTTATTCACCATGAAATTCAATTATTACTGTCTATTTGAGATTTTGAAGAAGCCATATCAGCAATATAGGTGTTTTTAGTTGTAGCAACTTAACAAAAATCAGATGTCTGAAAAATAAAAACTTCAAACCACAAGGATTGAGTTAGAGGCCTCAACGTAGCCTGCTTAGAGGTGAACACACAGTGACTTATAAAAACATCTCATGTAAGCTCACATTTTAAAACAATAAATTGAATATCTTGCCTCTCAGTTTTAGTTGCAGCTAAAGCCCTTGAGTGAACAGCTGCATTGGAGAATAATAAAAAAAAACTGTTAAAACTGTGAGTGAGATGAAGAGCTTGTAAGGATTTTTCTTTAATAGTTGAAACATTTAAATTCATAAAATAGCGTTTTACTTGAACGTTATAAACTTGATTATTAATTATATGCCATTACACTATGCTGTCGTTTAATAAGGGGCTGGTACAAAAAAGGTGTAATGATGTTTATTTCGTGTTTTTGTCCTATGGGCAAATAAAGTGTTTATCCAGAAATCATCTTGTTTAAGTTTGGACTTTGTGTACTGCATGCAACATTAATGTCCTTTACCAGTCACAACTTTTTAACTGATAAACTGCACTACTTGTGGTTGGTTTTTGAAATGTAACAGACATTTTATACATGGTGCTACAAGTTAACATACAACCCTGCCATAGGTCTCTTCATTGTTTGGGTACCCAAAGAAACACCCGGAGAACACTTTGAAGGACTACAGATGCTAACAAGTCTCCTTGCCCCTAAAGGATCCCGTTCAGCAAAACCATTGATAGAGGTCTTAAGCACAGGTACGTAAAATCTATTTAATATATTGTTTGAATTAAAAAGTGTAGATTATAAATTGAAAACATGGTGTGGGTTTGTATTAATCTAAACCTTTGTTTGTAAAGAATCTAGTAAAAGTACTGGGAATGATGAAGATGACGATGAAGAAGAATTTGACTGGAGTTTTGAGCAGGAGATGTTCCAGGAGAGCTCTGAGGAGAAACAGAAATACGGCTTTGGCAATAAGCGGACTGGAGTATTTGCAAGACTACAGGTGATGTTAAAAATAATGGTTATTTTCATAATAGAAAAATCTCAATATATGTTATTGATATTATCAGTTGTATCAGAATTTGCAACTGTCATTTAAGTAGATCTAAGATAACGTTGCAAGTTTGAATGATTTATGACTGTTTTGACAGGAAGAAATAAGTGATGTGACTGATGTCAAGAACCCTGAAGACACCACAGCTGCAGAGAGGAGACAGTCACGGCTGCATGCAGAGGCGTGTGACTTTTCTCCTGACCATTACCTGTGAGTTTATCAAAGTTAAAACACGCCTTTTATTAACCACTGCCCTGTATGTGGTATTCAATATCTTCCTTTCTTTGCAGTGCAGATTTTTTGAAGATGATGAGATACAGAGGCTGCTGAAATATAAACCATGGTGGGCGAAACTGAAACCTTCTAAAGAGCCGGAGGGAGAAGCTTGTGAGTGAAAGCACACATCTTTGTGGAGAGCAAGTTGAAGAGAAACTTGTTTAGATAGGGTTCCATTTATCCTCACTCTCTTAGTTATATTAGTTAAGAAGTCAAGTATCCAGTCAGTCTACCTAAATCAAATTGTTCTTTAAATCTTATTCAGAGACACATGAGATTTGATGGTATTAAAAGCATGCAAAAATCAACAAATAAAAGTCTATTATGTCATCACAATTGATGTAAGGGCGACTCACCTAAAATCATTAAAGGGATACTTCAATTGAATCTGTATTGAATTGGGTCATATAAGTAGTAGAAATGTGAAATACATTTTGAAGTTGGTGCCTGATTGACTGAGAAAAGCCATAGTGTATTTTTGGCTCATGTGGATGAAAGACAACAACTCCCAGAATGCACCGCACCGCAGGCCACTCCCACTGAAGCTAGGGTCCTCTATTTACAGACATTAACTACAACACATACGGCCGTTTCCTCAAATGATTCAGAGATTTCTTCCAGAAGGAATTGGCATCTTGGAAATTCCTGACAGAAAACAGACTCTGTTAAACTGTTGCTATATTGCGGCTCGTAGAGATGAACATCCGATTCGAGCACAAAATCCCCTTAGTTAGATCCTTAGTTCCAGTGCAGTGTTTCACAGTTGGAGGTATGTTAGCTAGTTAAAGAAGGTAGGAGAAGATGATTGGATAGATAGAATACTGCACTCACATCAGGATCAGTCAAGACATTGAACTTTGTCCATGAGGAGGGCCACATTTACTGAGAATTTGATTGAGAAAATACTGGATGGATGAATACTGGTGGCTTGGAATAACAAACTGTTTGAATACTTGTTTTCGTGCAGCCATATCCTTCATGGACATTGAGAAGGAACAGCTAAGGAAATTCAACAACCGCTCCTACCTGCTAGATAAGATTTCCCGAACCAAGTGTGGTTAGGCCTTGTGGATATCCTGCTGGCTTATTCCTATGAAGTGCGATCTACAGAGGGAGAGCACAACGTGAGTGTGAGCTTGTGAAAAGAGGCAAAACTTGGAGAGTTAGCTTTCCTAACTTTGTCTAAGCAGAATTAGTTGAACAACATTTTTGTCTTGCATTATTTCCTGCCTGCTATTGCTGTGATAATGAGTGGTCCTATTTCTCCCTGCAGGTTGAGTCACCTTGGACTGTCAGAAAACTAAGTGGGACTCTATGCTGGCTGGAAGTGAGTCAGTTATTGCACACAAAAATAAGATATTTGAAAACAGTGAATCAATAATTCTGACACATTTAAATGTTTTTTCACTATATATATATATATATATATATATATATAGGGCTGGGCATCGATTCAAAGTTTTAATCGCATGAGTTCCTGTGATTAATCACGATTAATTGCATTGTTATACGCAAAATCCAATAATGAATTAAAAAGTAGTGTATAGCGCACTTTTATTGTAAATGTACTTCTCAACTTAAACAATGTAAACAAAGCAAATAAATACAAAACTAAAGCTTATTGCATTCATTACAGTGTGGACGCAGAGTGGTGTGGGTCTCCTCTCTGGGTCTGCTGCGTGAGGCTACACTGACAGCCTGTGAGAGCTTTTGGAAGGGGGAGGGGCTCACGGCAGCACCCGCTGCTCGTTGAGGACAGTGACTGCAGAGCAATACGTGCTTTCACGTCAGTTTCTTACAACAAAAAAGTCTCCAATAACACCAGAAAAAGTCGCTAGATTTGTCGCTAGTAGCTGTTGACAAAAAAAAGTCGCCAAGGGGGTTTGGAAAGTCGCCAAGTTGGCAACACTGTTTCCTCTTTCCTGTGAGCGCCGCAGCAGACATGCGCAGCAGGAAGCAACATGCGAGGCTCGCTCACGATGGAATTTTATAAAATAAAAGCCAGTGAGCAACAGATTTTTACAATGAGAAAATAAATAATAAAAACTGCGTTAATGCGAGCTTAAATAATTGTCGGTGATAATTAATGAGTTAACGCGAAAATAACGCGTTAACGTGCCCAGCCCTAATATATATATATATATATATATATATATATATATCTACCAATATAGAAAAATATTTTTAGTCTGACAAAGATAGGATGCAAGATGAGTGCAAAAAGGGCCTGTTACTCCTCCTTTAAATAAGAAAATAAATATAATGACTCCATTGAGCTGTGCATTCCTTAACCCCTTGATAGTAAGGACTTATAACTCTTTCTCATAACAAAAGCCTGTAGGACTGTAAAATGAATACAATTTAAACTTTGTATACTTACTGACCTATATCTTCCGGAGATTCTCCCGACCTCGCCGTTCACATATGCTCCTCACAGCTGGAGACTATCCCTGTCAGAGGGGAGGGGGATCGGGGGGGATTTCCTGAGGTGATTAATGAGGTGATTAATACGATCGCCTTGTCTGACCTTGTCTGTCCGGGTTTTCATATTCTGTCCAGCTTGACACATGCTTGCAGCATACTCGGTCGAAAATAGACAATGTGCAGCTTTTTCATTTAATTTAACAAGAGTACAGACATACTTCGCAAGCTATTGTGTGTTAAATGTCTTGTTTGTTTGTTTACCTACCTAGCTTCAGTTCAAATAGGAGCTTTTGTTGTGACCAGATGGCACTATGTGAGGCCATTGAGAGGGGTTAATGCAACAAATGCATACATTTTTCATTTAATTTATTAAATTTATTATTATTATTATCAGAATAAAGACACGCGTATCACATATGAATGTGAGTATTAATAAGATGTTTTATGTAATTCAAGTTCATTTGGTAAATTATTTCTAGAGCTAAATTTTACATCCCATACTGTATCCTTAATACTTTTGCCAGTACAGCCTTGAAGTTTGCCTTAAATTCCATTTGAAGTGGTATTAAAATGGTCTTATATAGTCCTAAATTAACTTTTGAGAACCCTGGGGGGTACCCTGTATTAACAATACTAGGGCAGAAGAGGTATTTAAGGCTTATTTTGCTTGTACTTGTTGGGAGAAATTAAATGCACTGATTGTTCAACAAAACACTTTCTGTTAGTTGCATTTTTTGGTCTATATTTCTTTCCGTCTGTTATTGATGCTGTATGCTGGGCAGATTTCTTATTTTAATGTTCTATGATTTGCAGACATACAAGTCCTTGCAAGAAGTCCTGTTGTCGTTTGGACGGAGGGTCTTGTGCTACCCACTCTACAGACACTTTGCTATGGTCTCTGCGGCCATCAGTGACACAGTTTTGCTCTTGAGCTAGGTGAGTATCCTTAAAGCACCACAGCAATAACCATGATATGTGTGTGAATGGATTTGTTACTGCTGATGGGCTGACATAGCAGCCTCGGCCATGTCTCAAACTGCATTTTACAATAATGATACAAGCCGTTAGATAAACCTGAACCTGCTCGAAGTGCAAGTCTGTAAAATAAAAAGCTGCATCATTTCAATAATAATTTAACCCCCTTAGTAAGTACATCAACATTACAGTCTTTCTGTTAAAAAAGAAAAATGTTTGCTGCAATCTACAAGAACTTTTTTTTTTTTTTTTTTTTTACATGTATGAGCTTTGACAATGTTGATAATGTTATGCGAGATGTGTGAGGCAGACAGAACAATAGACATGAAATGTGTGTTTAGGACTATATCTTCAGTTTAGTGTTCTAGTGACCAGAATTTAAATTAAAAGGCTTATTTGAAAATTAAAATGCATTAACAGTAATTAATTTTAGAAATGTTTTAATTTTCACATCATAGGCGCATTGTCTGACAATTTTTTTTTTATTACGTCAAAGAATGTGCATTCTGGAAGAGGAAAATTGAATCCTAATATATATGATTGGATGTTAATTTTATTTGAGTCAGATAATGCACCCATGTTATGAAAATCAAAAATACTTTCTGTTAATTTAATTTTACAATGTGCTCAATCAAAATAACTTTTCATTTTTTATTTATTTATTTATTTAAAATGTGCATTCTTGAAGTTGAAAGTGAAAATGCAAATTTAATTAATGAGTATTATTTTTGTTTATGAAGCATATAATGCACCCATATTCTCAAGCATTCCTCTTAACGGGATGGTTGGAGCCCAATTTGTACCTAGCTCATTCAGCAACATAACCAATGTGTCCTTGGGCAAGACACAAATTGTGTCCGCTGCTTCATCAGCGGCGTATGCATGTGTATGAATGGGATAAGTTGCATGAAAAATGCAGACATGTTGAGAGTTAAAGGGAGCGGATCTCAGTTGCACCTACACGACCTATTTAAACGCTGACCTCTATTACCTGAGACTCTGCACAGGGATATATGGCAGTACATTTATTTTATGATATATTTTCCATAGATCACTCATCACATGCGGTCAGGCCCTTTTATCTGTTGTATGACTTCTTAATACTTTGTGGAAATAACACTTTATTTATATGCCTGTTATGTTGTGTTCCTGTGCCCAGGGAAAACGTGTGTCCTTAAATGCCTGCTAGATATTCACAAAGTCTTCAGAGAGAACGACCCGGCCTACATACTGAACGATCTGTATATCACAGACTACTGTATCTGGATACAGAAGGTCAAGTAAGTTTAGCAACACATGAACCCCACACTTAAGAAAATGCCACTCAGCCCAAACGATGCATCAGTAGTATTGAGTAGTGGCCTGGAAAGGTCTTATGCCACAACAGGGCATTCAATGTCCATACATTCACATCCATAAGGACTTGCACAAAAGGAGCACATTGAAAACATAATTATTGAAACATAGTAGGACTTATAACAAAGACTGTTTATGCAGACATTTCAGTCAATCTTGGTCTTTCTTCAGGGTAAAGTGAGGCATGGCTGGTGAGAGGGTCTCACCAGGAACCAGGGCTATACTAATACCTAACACTTTGTAGATGGTTTTACCACTGATGAAACTGTAACTGGATGTTTTTCTTTCTGTCATTTTGTTGTGGTCATACACACAATAAATAAGGTAAATTAAGAAAACGTTTTGCTACTCTGACTTGGCCTTTCTCACTCTTTATCTTCTCAGGTCAAAGAGGATGACAGCCTTGGCTGAAATCTTACAAAATGCCTCCCTTCATAAAAAAGACTTGGATCTAGAACTTGAGGAGCTAGAGGATGCAGCGAAAATGGTGATGGAGGAAGAATTCAATAAGCAGGGGCCCTCGAAAGTTCTCTCGTAGCCCATAGTGACAGCAGGAGCTGTTCCAGTGACTGCAGCAGCAAGTCAGCTGATGACAGCAATGATTCTGAGGCTGAAGGGCAAGGCTGCAACAAATCCAACCAGGGAGGAGAGTTATCTAAAGACAACCCTCTACACCCCAACCCACCTCAACTGTCTCTCCTGATCCCAAGGTTCCCCAAACCCTACTCTTCTCAGCAGAGAGGAAATCGGACACCCTACCCTCATCCTCAGAAGACTCCAGACAGCTGATCCAAGAGCTGGGCTTAAGAGTGGCAGATGAGCTGAAAATCACTCAAGAGTCCAGCTACAAAACACTACAAAATAGTTCACAGCTGAACAACAGTGCAGAAAAAACTGATGAAACCTCTGGAAGGAGCAGCTGTGGGACATTCTTAGAGATAGATCCTTGTCGAAACCCTTTGCTGGTCATCCAAATGAAGGAAGATCTTGATGGATGACATCATATGCTGACAAAAAAATGTTGTGGAAGACATTTGAGAAGTATGAACTCTTTGCAAAATCTTTCTCAACAAAATTATTTCAAAGATTTAATTTCCATCCCATTTGTTCAATTGGTATTTTTTTGTCCTTGTGATTTATAGTAGAGGTGTGTGATATTGACAAAAAATAATATTTTTATGTTTTTGCTGATTTTTCCGATAACAATAATTGACAAAATTTGCATCCTTCAAAATGTTTAATAAAACCTAAAAATGTGTTTGTAAAAGTCTTATATTGTACTATGGAAGCGATTAGTGATCAGAATTCAAATGAGAAAGCTAATTTGAAAATGAAAATCCATTAACAGAAATGCTTTTTAATTTTCAGAATATGGTGAATTATTTGACTCAAAAATAAAATGACTAATTTATCTAATTTGAATTTTAGCTTTCAACTTCAAAAATGCACATTCTTTGACTAAATTAAATTTAAGAAAATTACATTTGCTTTTTCATTTTCAAAAAATGCCCCGCTAAATTTATATCATAATTCAAATGAAAAAGCTAATTTTAAAATGAAAATGCAGTAACAGAAACATGTTTTAATTTTCAGAATATAGGTGCATTATTTGACCTATATTTAAAATTAATATTCAGTCATCCAATTTGCATTATACTTTTGATCTCTATGTATGCATATTGTATGACATAATTCAAATGGTGTACATATTTCCTTGCGGACTACCACTGTGTTACAGTACCTCTCATTAATATAAAAACAAACTCCGCCCCTGGTTGATTTGTTTGTAATGAGAGGTGAGCGGTCCATGCGCACAGGGTAGCCTACACAAAGCTGCGTATAGGGAGAGCCTCTTTTCGATCCGTATCTCCCAGCCCAGCCATGTTTCAGTGAAAGCAAGTGAGCATGTCTCCCTGAAATCGCGATTACAGATGGCATGGGCCTCCAGCTCATCCAACTTGTTGCGAATCGACTGCACGTTAGACAGCAAAACAGTAGGGAGGGGAGGGAGCCGTCGTCTGTCATGAAGGCCATACTTCCTTAGCCTGCGTTGTACGCCACCTCTCCTCCCTCTCTTCCTCCGGGGATTTTTAGGAAGGTACCCTGTTCGCTGAATTATTCAGACTGTCACAGTGAAGTAATTGAGGGATGTGTGATAGTTTGCCACTTACTGCAAGTGGACGAAGGGACAGAAGAACCTCTCGGCTGTAGGTGATCCTGTTGACAAAGTTGCCAGTGCCGTGGAGATGACCCCAGGTATATCAGCTAAAAAGTGTCCAAAGTGCAGCAAAAATCACAGTGTAAACTCCCCTCATTATGGAAGCGACGATTAATAATCCACGGGGGTACAGATAGGGTATACACGCAGACAGCAGCAACAAAGACAACACAAACACCAGCTGCTCCTGGGTCGCACAGCAGCATGAGCACAAACAAAGACATCACAACCAAAGACATTTCTTGATTTGGTTGTGTTGTCTTTGTTCGGTTGTGTTTAGAGATCCACCGATCCACTTTCTTTAGTTCTGATCCGATTCCGATACATATGTACAGATGCCAATACTGATTCCAATATTTTTTTGTTGTTGTTTATAATGTTGTTGTTGGTATTATGTGTAAGGCTACACAGAGCTGGAGTAAAAAAAGCATTGCATTGTGTTGGCTTCACATACAAACAGGAAGCAGCAACACCTGTTAGGTTTTCAAATGAATATTTTTAACTTAAGTCTAACAATTGTACTTTAAATCACTTAGAAAGAGCTGTTCCATCTCTTCTGAACGTTGTCATGGAGACGATTTGTGGTCACTTCTTACTGTTCAGTCTGAATGTCTTCAAAGTGAGACTGTACGAGCTGAGACTGTTTGAAGTGCCCAATGGTCTTATTAATCGGTGACGTGGATCGGCACAGTCAGTCCTATGTCCGATTTGTAAATTATGTCAATATCAGACGAGATATTAGATCAGATCGGTCCCATCTCTAGTTGTGTTGTCTTGATTTGGCTGTGTTGGTTATTTTATTTCTGCAGTTTCAGTAATTTAAAGATGATATAACCTGTTTGTTTCTCAGGAATGATTATTTGAGAGTCTGTCTTTAAAGCAGCAACAAATTAAAGCCAACTCTCTGGTTAATGTCTTCTGTCTATAGTTTGCTATATACTTCAAAGTAAAAAGAATGCCCTTTGTGACTACATAAAAATTATTCAACCAAAATAGCTATTGTAACATTTTTGTTTAAACTTTTTAAGTTTTCATCCTAATTTACTTCACACATATTTATGCCATTTTAAGAGTTTTTTTGTACCCCAGCTCCATTGGTTGCCTGTTAAATTATTTAACAAAAATAGCTATTGTAACTTTTTTTGATCGCTTCTACTTAGGGTATTATAAAAAACTATCCCTGCATCCAGTAAATCCTTTGGAGTAACTAGGGTTCATCTTAAAAGCAGGAGACATGGTGGCTACACGCCGTCTTTATATGACTGAATTGCATTAAAAAACAACAACAGGCTGTATGGTCGATATACAATCTCATACTAGGTGACAATATAACTGAAGGCAGTTGGTTGACTCCGAGCGTTATCATATTAATATGTAAGAGAAAATATGAGACAAAATGTGTTAAGAATATCTATAAAATGTTTTACAATAAAGATATATTATAGACTACAATTAAATTGTATCCTGTTGTTTAGTCTTGATCTATTTTTTGTTTCTTCTCTTCCCACATAATCCATAGGGCCCCATTTTACAGGTCGCTGTGAAATCTTGGCTCCACTAGTTTCCTGTTAGGGGCTGGTGACAGCATAGGGTCAAGTGAAAAGTCAAATAACTTGCTTGAGATTGAGATGATTGGTGTCCTTACTTACAAAATGACAGACTTTGATATACATACCTTTTGAATTTTTGTTTCAATTTTCAAGTTTCGCCTAAACTAGTGTTTAGGTGTGAATATTTCGAAAATTGGAAATGGTATTGATTAAAACTTTAAACTGTAATTAATAACTACCTTTGAACATCCGGTCCAAAGTTGATATCCAGAGATACATGTGATAAGTCAGGAGCTGTCCCTTTCGGAGAAGTCCTAATTGTCAGTATTTTTGGTAAGATGCATACATTTTATTTTTTTAAGTAATTTTGCAGTAAAATATTTTTAAAGAACCAATCCATTTAATAAACTACACATGTTGAAGTTATTAAAAAAATATGGTTGTGCTTTGCAGCTGGGGCTCAGTTGTTAGATTCTCAAGCGAAAGGTTGAGGGTTCGATCCCCAGCTTCTGCAGCAACATGTCTGATGTGTCCTTGGGCAAGACACTTAACCCTGAATTGCTCCCACTGCTTTTTTGGCAGCGTATGAATGTGTATGGGATACTTCTGATGGTCTCACTACATAGCAACCACTGCCATCAGTGTGTGAGTGGGTAGGTGTGACATGCGTTGTAAAAGCGCTTGTGTAGTCTGAATACTAGAAAAGCACTATATAAGCTCAAGTCCATTCACCATTTACCATTTGTTCTACCTCGGGTAGGGGTATCTCAACTTTTAGGGGCCCAAGTTCCCTTTACCATATCGCTTACTTTCCTAAATGTGTGAAACTGAATGGAAAGTGCAAAGTGCATACTGCCAATTTAGATCTGTCAAGAGCATTTCCCTCTTTAATTCTCAGAGAGGCTCAACAAGCAGAGTATGATCAATCCTATTTTGTTGCCATTCACAGATCCCTTGCTTTGCCAGTGTGTCTATTAACCATTTCTAACACAACCATTCCCATTTTTAATAAACAATGAGCAAGAAAGCTGTGAGATTAAGATTTGATCCTTCAAAGGTTTGTAAAACTGAATTTCCCCTTGCAGGATTAATAAAGGTTATCTTCTTTTTTCTTTCTTTTTTTTTAAATGGAAGCGTGTCTAAGGTGGATTTCATGGCGTTGTAGTAATTTTTCCTTGTTATTGGTCTCCCCCCATAGGTTTAATTTTTTTTCCCAGTACCAGGAAAAGAAAAACATTTGTCATGGGAAATACACCTGCCTAAAAGCCATATGCTGTCTGCCATTTACTTTCACATGTGTTTAATGTTTACTTTTCTTTGTGTCGTTTCTATTTTCAATATTCCTTAATACATTTGTTATAAAAACATAGTTGCATGTGCCAAATCAGTTTCATAGTGTAACAGGGTTATTGTAGATAATTGAAGTTCGTCAAAATGTATTGTTGCATTCACTCAGTGTTCCTTTAATTTTCTGTGATCTTATTCCTTTGAGATATAGATTTAATAGACAGTTGTATCTTTTCTGTATTTATGCAAGGCTCCTTTTATTTATTTGAGAACAGTGCCCTCGGGTATGGAGGACTAAAAGTGCCAAAATGAAATATATAAATATATAATTAATTAAATCATTAAATGTGTCATCAATTATTTAATATTGGAAATAAATCAACAAATATATAAATAAATATTTAACTAATTAAATCATTCAAGAATGTCCACGTTTGGTGCACGAGTACCTGGCTTGCGAGCAGAGCTTCCAGGTCCAGGGAATGGGGATGGCACCGATCACCAGCACCTGTTACAACACCATAAATAACGAGTTAGTTGTGGCCAACTCAAACATTGCGACAACTCTCGGACGAGGAACAGACGTTTTTCAAAAATCGTTGAACTCCCACGGTCAGCCCGTGTGCTGCGCCATCTACAACAGTATTTTCAAACAGGTCGTCTCAGTTTGCCAAAAACGGTGTCGTGACGTTGTGGAAAATCATAACCGGAAAGGCTGAACTGCAGTTCAGAGTCACTCCGGACCAGCAGGTGGGGCTCGTCGCCGTCTCGTTCGATGAACCGCAGCGTAGATTGATCACAATTTCGCAGGCCGGGAAAGTGAGACTCTGGAACTTCAACTGCGGAAAAGAGCTCATGGTTCTCTCTGGTACCATGCCGAACAAGGTGATGGGTATTGTGTGCGTCGATGACAGAATTTTTGTGTCTGGACTTAACTCTAGGACCATTTTCAACATGGACCTGGAAGACAAAGACCACAGATACACGAGGCACAAGTACTTGAAAGATATTTCCTCGAGGGATGTGCATAAAAACATGCTAATCACCGCCTCTAGCAATGGATATATTGTCGTCTGGAAATTGTGGTCTGTTGAAGCTGCAGAGGCCGCCTTTTGGATTAATACCCAATAGAGTCCTCACACATACATGGTGAACAAAAGAGATCCAGGACAGAGCAGGTGTCTGGCTGTGGATATGTGTAAAAGGAAAATCGCTGGAAACAAACAACGTAGTGAAATTTCTTGTCAGGCTCCTGAATACAACCGTTCTCTAATATGTCTGAAGACCAGGGAAATCAGAGTAGACATAGCCACACTTTTAACTTATGCAGGCGACTACATCTACGCCTGGTCTCTTAAAGTCAAGGGAGGTCTGTTAGGGAAGTTCAAGGCAGTGGAAGATGAAAGTGCCGTCTTTACCACCATGTCAACTGACGTCGATGAGCAGATTTTACTCACCGGGGACAGTCTAGGGAAGGTTAGCCTGTGGGACATTGATGGATTTTGGTCAGGAAAAGAGTCACTCAAAGAGCCATTTGAGATTACAAATGGATGGAAAGTGTCATTGTGTCCTCCCCCTTTGCTGGGCTCCTGGAAAGCTCACCTGACAGAGGTAGTGAGTGTGACGTTTGACTCTAAGCGTGAACATATAGTCACCGCAGGGTTGGACTGCAATGTTCGGGTGTGGACGAACTCCGGCTGCTTTATCGGCCTATTCGGTATACACCAATGGGATTTGATGTCTTCCAGCCCTCAAGAGAATTTTGACCACGAGCTACAAGAAATTCAAAGTGCGGAAAAGGAAAAGGATCAAATACTTGCAGAAACAAAAAGCGTCCATAAACGGTGGAAACAAGTATATGAAGACATACAAACAAACATAAAGAGCACTTACCAGATGCTGAAAGACAATTGCAAAGAAAAGAGTAATTTTAGAATGATTGAAGAACTCGAAAAGATAGAAGAAAAGAATGAAGAAAGACACAGATCAGACAAGGAGCTTGAACACAAGCTGAAAACAAAGTTCCAAGATTTAGACAAATGCGATACCCTCAGCGAGAGTATTGAAAAGGCTAGGCCGCCGATATCGGACGCTTAAGTATATGTCTTGTATCGGAGGGTGATGAAGGTCGTCCCTCAGATCGACATAATTGACAAAAATCCCAAATTCTCAATCTTAAGAGAACATAAGAAGGAGCCTCAACAGCGTGCTACTGTCCAAGTCAAGGAGGGGACTGAAAACTCCCCGGAAACTAAGATAAAAAAACAAAAAAACAAAGATAACGTCAGCACACCAGATGTGCGGGATAGGGTCCCACCGCATGACCCTCGCACTCCGCTCAGTGGCTTTGCCAGAAAAGTTTGGGTCAAGTCTCCTGATTTGGACCACATTGTGTGCAGAAGTAACCATTTAAAAAACAATGTGCTCACTCCATGTCCTCCTGACACCAAGACAGACTGCACAATATACGTGCGTAAGGCCAAATATGGATGTGTGTATAGGACCTGTCAGAACAACACAAAACATGACAGCTCCTCCACACCGTGTCCGTCCAACCGTCCGCCTGGAAAGCAGTGGTGTGAGCAACCGCGAGAGCCTCTTCGCTTTCCACCAATCTCCGATAAAGGAACAACAGGCCATGGTCGCCTTGACAAGAGCCCAAGATACATGCTGGATCACCTACTTCAGTAAAGTAGAGATCTGAACGCAGACCAGAGCGCGACCATTTGACACCAATCTCTGATCATGAATTCTGTTGTATGAGTTTACTCCGGGAAGCTCTGGTTTGTCCCTTTATTTCCAACTATTAAAAAAAAAAAGATTACTGATGAAGTAAGTATATTGACTTAGGTTCAGGAGCAGGACAACGCCTAGACCACACATTCAATCACCTGATGAGCCGACTTATACCGAGCCATCCTTTGTCTCAGTTCTTTGACCCTCCCTCCTTTCCTTTCCTTCCCTTCCTCTCATCCACCCACCCTCTTTCCTCATCCCCTCATCCTGTTTGTCTATTTCTAGGCACAGTCTGGGCTCGGGGAGAACTATGCCTAAGACAGAACCCAGACCTTGAGTCTCCCTCTGCCCTTCAGTCAGTCCATCCTCCCAGACCAGCCAGCTGACAACATCCTCTTCCATCATAATCATTATCTCAACGTACAAGCTTAAAACCAGGAGACTTATTAATTTAATAAAAATATATTGCATAATGTTGCCGACTGTGTGTGGTCTCCATCTTTTGTTGCATACGGTTGAGCCAGGCTGTGACGTCCTCCAGGTGAGGTGGTTTGGGCATCTGATAAGGATGCCTTCTGGTCATGTCCAACTGGGAGGAGACTCAGGGTAGACCCAGAGCTTTCTGGAGGGATTATATATCCCTTCTGGACTGGGAATGCCTCAGGGTCCCTCAGGAGGAGAGAGATCTGTTAATAGGGAGAGGGACATCTAGGTCAGCATGCTTAGCCTGCTGCCACAGCGACCTGACCCTCGAGAAGCGGAAGAAAATGGATGGATAGATGGATGGAGATTCAATGCGACTTGTGATGTTTAAACTGTCATTAAAGAAATCGGAAATATGAGCAAATATAAACTGGTTTAAGGTAATTTCCTACCTGCAGTGTGAACACAGCACATATGAATGATATGTTTCCTCTTCCTATCTACTGCCTTGTTTTTAATAATACATCTTATTCTTCTCTGATTTGGGACTCAGTTTCTTTTTCTGTTTCTCAAAGTATTTTAAAATCCTTATCACAGAAAAATCAGCTTCCCTGATTGGTCCTTGGCTGCTGATCGATCCCCGGTCTCTGCGGCGTTGCGTTCTAATGACTCATCTGCTTTAGCTCTCTCTCTCTCTCTCTCTCTCTCTCTCTCTCTCTCTCTCTCTCTTTCGGACGTAGTAGCCTCGGCGCTGTGCGTTTGGGACATTCCTGCATTGTTTGATGTCCATGAGAGCAAGCGAGCGAGCGGCGTGGTCTGCAGCGCAGGTGTTCGCCGAGCGTGCATGTGGTGCAGCTCTGCATGATGACAGATGATGCATCGAAAGGCACCCCTGTTTGGAGTTAGGATCTCCGTGGATGAAATATTTTCGCCTGTGCGGTCGTGTTTATATCCTGACAGAGTCCGGTACACTCTGAGGAGCTGAGTGACGAGCGAGCCGGTCCAGCACCGCTGCTTTGATCTGCGTTCACTGTGGGATCTGCTCTGTCAGAAAGAATCAAAATTCACCCTCTTTTCTTACAGAGAAAGGGAGAGTTTCACACTTTTGTTTTTCTCGCCTGGCATGCAACAAAGTACATGTTTGGACTGTGACTTCTGTGTGTGGGAGAAAAGTTTTAATGATCAGAGGCACAAACAAGGATTGGACTTAATTTGTTTTTTGCACCAATCCATTTTTTTTCTTCTTCTTATAAGCCATTCAAGGGCTGCACAATACATTTTGTTATCTCAATTTTAACTTTCACATTAAACCCCTCACTAAAGTCTGTGCATATGTACACGACATCCATCGAGGAAACATATGATAACCACTACACTAACAATGACTCTGCTGTTTAACAAGTAAAGAGCTGTGGTCATATTAGTAATTCCATAGGCATAATAAGAGATTTCTGGGGGCGCTGGTGGTGCACATACCCCATGCTTGGAGGCTATAGTCCCCCAAGCGGGCGGCCCAGGCTCAAATCCCACCTGTGGCTCCTTTCCTGCATGTCATTCCCCACTCTCTCTCTCTCTCTGATTTCCTACTTTCCTATCTCTTCATTAAAGGCACAAAAAGCCAAAGGGAAAAAAAGAGATGTCTGTAAAACTCTTCACAAGGAAAGCTAAGCTATGGCTCAACTTCTTGTGATTTTTGGATCCATGCTAAACATTTTGAAAGATGATGTTGAACTTGTTACAATAAAATGCACAGAATGTTTATCAAAAAGTAAACCTGGAACCTTATTAAATTAGACTAATTAGACTAGCCAGTAATTTCTTGTTGGACTGAAAAGGCCAGTATTCAGCTTCTAACTCATTGGCTATCATCTGACAAATATAAAAACTCTGAGAGAAAAGCGTCTACATTTTCCAGGCCTCTGAGTGACAGCCAGAGACCAAGACATACCCAAGACCAGAGTGCTCCGAGACCGAGACATTTAGGGATCGATGACCAAGGCAGGACGAGATCGAGACAAGACAAATATCACAGAAAAATCCCAGCAGGCATCTCACTACATTTGTTCTTCTAGAAAGAGGCGTTTTCCTTCTACTCACAGTGATGAGGTGGAAAATTAGCTTTAATTCTTTCTTTTTTCTTTTTTTATTAAAGTGAAGCTTGTCTAAGGTGGATTTCATGGCGTTGTAGTGATTTTTCCATAGGTTTGATTTGATTTTTCCAGTACCAGAAAAAAAAAAAACATTTATTATGTCATGGGAAGTACACCTGCCTAAAAGCCATATGCTGTCTGCCATTTACTTTCACATGTGTTTAATGTTTACATTTACTTGTGTCGTTTCTGTTGTTTCTCAATATTCCTTAATACATTAGTTATAAAACATAGTTGCGTGTGCCAAATCAGTTTCATAGCAGTGAACTCTTCAGCTGGGTCGTTAATAGTAATTGAAATAGTTTTGAATTATCAATCCAGACTTTTAAACCCACACAAACTTTGATTGGCTGTGAGGCGGTCACATGACGTAGTGCAGTCAGTAGCCGTGCCGTGCCTGAAGCCAGCCCTGAGTGGAGCCTGTCTTCCCACAGCTTCAGTAGCGGATCTATCTGGAAAGCACTACACTTAACTGTCAATTAAAGAGGCCATCTTCTCTTATTTTCGAGGACTAATTTTCATCATGGGCGATAAAAAGAGCCCCACAAGGTAATGCAATCATCCGCCCACGAATTGTGATTGCTTTGTGCGTTTTGGTCTCGATATTAGGATGCGTCAGAGATCGTTTCTGCCCTTTTTCAGTCAGTAATGCCACAGCTAGCTAGAACAGTGCAGTCACTATGGCGGCTTCTGGCTCCCTGTTACAGTCTCTTAACAGACAAAGGGATTTTTTTTTCTCTGCAGAAACAGAAGGCACTGCCTGTTAAGGATTTGCATCACGATTGATCCTTTGGAGTGTCATTGTCAAAAATGGGTTGTGTTTATTGTTGGTTTGGTTAGCCGGCATGCTAAGTTTCGATGTCAAAAAAAAAAAAAAAATGGCAAATCTTGTCTGCCTGCTAGCCTAGTTTGGCCCATACAACCACACGGTATGAAGCTGCGATATCGAGGGGGAAATATTATTCAAGGAGCTTTAACAACCACCATCCTTTCTGCTCTGATGTGCAGCATGTGTTTTACCGTGACTAAATGTGTGTGTTGTTTTCTCACCTTCCCCTTTCTTGTTATGCATGATATAAGTTAGCGGTGTCGTTAATGTCCTTTTTGATGAATTGAAATACAACATTTGTCTCATTTGTAAGGCCAAAAAGACAAGCCAAGCAGACCGCTGACGAAGGCTACTGGGACTGTAGCGTCTGCACCTTCAAGAACACTGCCGAGGCATTTAAATGCAGCATCTGCGATGTGAGGAAGGGCACATCCACAAGGTAAAATAGCGCCCCCCCCTCACACACACACACTCACACACTCACACTCACACACATACATACCAACACACCTTTTTTCTCGGTCCCTGTATCTCCCTCGCCTGAGCGTCTCGATGTTCCCTACTTGGCTTGTTATAGCTGCATTGCAACTCATGGGAAGGACAACTTTGATCGACTGCCTAATTTTCAGTGACCAAATAGGGACTTGTTCAGTGAAAAAATTGCCAACATCTCCTGCCATTGTGTGGATATCCGCAATCCCTCAGCCTCTGAAACTTGCATTGCATTTCTCTAGGTAGGTTTGCTGCATCAGTAGCCAAATTGGGGGTTGGGTGGGGAGAAGGTACCACTCTTCATACTGGACGTACTTTGCACCATCTCAGCAACACTTAAATGCATGCAGGTGTTTGTTTTACCTACCTAAGGATTGCAGATACATATAATTGATGGTGCATGAGTAGGATGTACAAGAGATAAACATATTTTGGAAGCTTAGAATAAAACCCTAGAAATACATTGACCATATTTCTTCCTTTCCAGAATTTCCCCAGGGGATGAATAAAGTATCTATCTATCTATCTATCTATCTATCTATCTACCTATCTGTCTATCCGTCTATCCATCTATCCATCTATCCATCTATCTATCTATCTATCTACTCTTGTGCTATTAAGTTTAAGTCTGTTGTTTCACACCTGCCATAATGCAAGTTTGTTTATGTAGAGGAATTCATTGTTGTTTTTCTAAAAATTTAAATGATAGATTTGAAAGTTTCATAATTCTTTCTTTTCCTTTCATTTTTCTTTCATGCTGTTTATATAAGAGCCTGACCGAATATATCGGCCGATTATAAGTTTATCAAGAGACTATCGGTATCGGCTAATTCTATCCCAGATATATGCCGATATTACTAAATTTATTCACCAGTCAAATAGCATTTCATTTAAGTATAGTTGAATTACACAACCGCTCTCTTTCACCAGCAGAGGGTGCTGTGTGGGTTACAACAGGCATCATTACTCTACAGAGTGTCAAGCGTTGACGCATGTATGCACAGTTACTTTTCAGTTGAGATACCGTATACGTATCTTTACCACAAGACAAGTGTTTGATAACTGCATTCGAGGGATCGACGTAATGAATGTGTTCAAACAGATCGAACTTGCATCAAAAAAAGAAATCGGCTAATATCTGTATCAAATTTTTTCTCTTTTCAATATCGATATCTGTATCGTCCCCAAAAATCCCATCCCATCGGTCGGGCCCTAGTTTACATGTTAATACACTTGTCTGCCCATAAAATGTTTATCCATAAGCTCTAAAAATTGGATTGACTAGAAACATGCTCTCTGTAATGTCTTTATTTTGCCTTACTTATTGCCACAAGCCTAAGTCTCTTTATTTCTGGTTTCCTTATAAAACGTGATTTTATTTTGAAAGAATTCAAAGAGGACTTCCTCTACATCAGGACTATTCAATTACAAATTCAAAAGGTCCAGATTTAAAAACCAGGAAACTTAAGTGAGCAGGACATTTGGCGAGTTGGCGAAAAAAAGGAAATGAATGTACTAAAAGACAAAAATGTATTTGGCAATGAAATGGCATGAACTGAATGAACCCAATATCGTCACTGCACAGAACCATGGAAAGTGGCAATAACCAGTAACACAATATTTCTCTCTGCCTGTTTTATCATTGTTCCTCCTGTGTGTCTACCATTCAAACACACATAAAATGATTTTGAGGGTGGGAGGGAAGCTGCTGTGTCTCTCTGTTGGGCTGTGCAGGTCCGCAACAGGCTTTACGTCTCCGTTCACAACGGACAAACTCTGTACTTTAACGTCCCTCTCCTGTGATCCCTCAGCAAAGTTAGTCCGGTTAAGTTGTGTGTTTTTCAACGTGATGCATTCGATTGTTATATTATTTAATCACTGCAACGCACTTGGTGCAAACGAGGCACGTTGGTTTTGCGTTTGGAGTTGTTAGTAAAATTAAATACTTTGCAGTAAAGGCACGTTAAAAACTGGTGGTTTTTGCTGTATAGTTTTCTTTTAAATCATTTTAAAAGCAAGGCTACTAAGCATGGTCTGAATGTTTTGAACACCACTACTTCCGCAAACGTCTGTTCTGATCAGTCGGTGACAGCAAACTCTCAACAAAGATAGGAATGAAGTAAGATGCCTGACTTGCAAGCTAGTTCTGTATGCTGTTAAATAATTCTTTTCATTATTGGATTCATGCTGATCGGGTTGGGGCCACTCTGACGTTGCCTGCTGGCCGCTTTTGGCCCTTCGGCTACCAATTAAATAGCCCTGCTCTACATCATTAGGTTATGGGAGTGAATAAAACAGCTTACAGAATGACAATTAGGTATAAATGAATTTGATGTCTTAGACATCCACGCCTTTTACATGGTCATGGAATGTGGAATAAATCTTAAAAACATCAAGTTAAGTGACTTTCAGAAGGATGCTACATCCATTAGTTACCTCTTAGCCCTTAGCCAGTGATGAGACACAGGATTCTTTTCTGAATGCACGCAACTTCACCATGCTTTCACTGTAGGGATGTAACGATTCACTCAATGCACCGATACGATTCACAATACTGGGTTGACGATATGATTCTCTCACGGTTTATTTTACAAAGTGAGAATAGACAAATGACTGAAAAAGATTCCTTTAGGGGCTTCAAACCCACTTGTCAGTGTGGTTTGGCCTTTTAATGTTTTTTTTCTCGCAACAAGAGGAGGTGATTGGAGCTTCTCATTGTGGTGTCAGTTAAATGCTGCATCATTTTGGTTGTGCTATTTGTGTAGTTCCCTGTCTTCATGTCTGTTATCTTCTCACCTCTTTCGTTTTCTGTCTTGGGGAAGCTAAAAATGCTTCCACACCTCCGATTAAAAGACAGTGGTGTGTCCTCATTTTCAAAATCTTGCTCGGCAGCTGCCAACCGCCTCTGCTCCACAGCTGCTGAGTCTCACGATATTATTGCGATTAATTTTTCAGAAGAGAGCACATCAGACCGTCAAAACACGTTTGAAGAGTGTGACGAATGACTGATCAGCTGTTTCTGTCTGCCAATGCACGTACTGCTGCAACTATGTCATTCACTGTAACGGCATCTAAGCCCCCAGACACACCGATCTTTTTGACCTTTAGGAGCCATCTCCTAAAAACTTCTACATGTCTCCACCTCACCGCTCTCGTCCTGATATACCAATCGGATGTCCTTATATGGAGAGACGGGGGGTGTGGTAGTAAGCTGATGGCAGGTTGCAGACACGCGCCTGTGGATTTAGAATGATTCTGATTGACTAACATAAGCAAGTTGGTGAGAACAAAATTGGCTGGTACGCACGTGTCATGAATCCGACGGTGATTTTGCGTATTCACTTGTTTTATGCGCAAAGTAAGAACATTTCTACGCACATATTAGTGAATGAGGCCCACTGCCTTGAGCAAGTCCAGTGTAGCAAGCAGGAAATGCATAAACTGGACATTAGCATGGCTTTTGAGGTAAAGCTGTAAATGTAAATAGCCAAAATGTCTCTAAACTCTGGAAGTTGTGTGGTCTTTCTTGTCATCTTGTTGACGGTGTTTCCTCCCTGCTTTCGAGCCGCTACAAACAGCGTTTTCTTCAGTGTTTATCGCTAATTTCGGCTGTGTTTCCATTCCGCTCCAAAGTCTGTTATATGCTAAATACTATACTATACTATACTTAATTTGCTGCATTCTGAGGAATATTTATGCAACACTTTGTGCTGGAAATGTAAACATGGAAAATGAAACAAAGACTTTAATTTGCGCACAGCGACACAAGCACTTAGGGACGGTGACAGACACAACAAGCTAACATGTCGGCAAAGGCGACGTGAGGTGCCCATCAGCAGAGGAGAAAAAGGTTCGACACAGGAAAAGAAACACACAGTTTCCCTGCACTCGCTCCCTCCTCACCTCTCTGCCTGTGGCAGATCGGAAGCGAACGTTAAAATATTTAATTGATATTTCCGTAATATTATTTGGTTACGGAGGGACACCCAAATGATAAAAGTTTAGAAGTAGCCTTTAACTTTGCAGAAAATATTATAGATTAATATCGATAATTAGCAGATATAAACATGATTTGATTTCTCTTTGTAAACACAAATGGCGATCACAAAGGCAGAGAGAAACAGAGGCCGACAGATGAGAGTCTGTAAGTGATCTTTTTTCAGGAGTCAGGGAGAATTCAGTTAAACAGACTCAAGCAGCAAACTTCTCTGTTTTTAAAATTTAAAATAATGAGATAGATTAAAACCTAAAGAGTGTTAATGGCTCTTAGAATCTCCAGAATGTGAAAATGTAATGCAGAGACACTTCCACTATATACATTATGGCTTAAAACTAAAGTAGAATACAATCAACAAAGGATTTAATTTTCAAAATGTTCAAATGGAGATTAATTTGAGTGAGCATGAGAGATCGTCACATAACCTGCGGCAGTTTTTAATATTTTTTGTAGTTAACTGTCAGGTTTTTAAAAAAACAAAAAGTTTTAAATCTAAGACATTTTCCTTTTTTTGGTTTGCTGTCAATAATAGAGCTTTAAAGACAGAAAATTGGTATCGGCTAAAATCGGTCTTGGCAGGTCAGACCAGGTAAAAATCGTAATCGCCCAGAGAAATTGCAATTGGTGCATCTCTAGTTTCATCCTGCATCAAACACAATACAAAGCATTAAGGTAGCGCATGTAAGTCATATCCTAGCATGAGATAAATATATCAAACAAAATCATACCACAGACATGAGAAAGGCACAGCCGCCAACTATTGTGACCATGGCTTTAACATGTTGTCAAAACTGATCCCATATCTCGGTCATCTTCCCTCCCAAATTAATTTCTCCCAAGGTGTATTCACATGATGAGATCTTAACCATTTTGTCAGTCCATTCCTTCACAGTAGGACACCTGGAGTACTTCAAGTTTCTCAGAATAATTCTTGGGCTGTGATATATCCA